CTTCTGAATCTGAACCTAAGATGTTTGATTCTACAACATCTAAAATCTCTTCCTACATCACCAAACAAAAACTGCATGGCAGCAACTTCCCTAATAGTCTCAATTTGTTTTCATGTACATCTGTGGTAAAAGAAAAAATTGTCACTCCTGAGGTAAATCTTGCAATATAAATTTCTGCGTCTAAACATCGGAAATGGAAGATTGAATATCACATGGTCATGTCATGACTTGTCTTGTCAACTCTATGACCACATAAATTGAAAAAAACTTCCCCCTGTGCAAAACAATAAAAGAAATCCGGGATGCCACAAGAAAAACCTATTCAAATGTTTACAACAAATCTCTAAGTTGTTTGAAATTGAAACTAGATTACATTGAGACAGAGTAAGCTGAATTTTACTCAATACTTCAAAACTCGCTCCAAATATTAACTCCAACTAGATAGGTATTAAACATACACATGAAGGTGCTCAGAAGACTCTTCTCTTTGCAAAATCATTGTTGGACAAAAGAAAACCTTCAAGTTCTTTCTAGGAATCAACAAAAAATTAAATGAAGTCAGAAGAATCATGGGAACCAAACATCTTCCGCAATTCATGAAGTCTTTGTTGGATTACGAAGGGAATAGAGCATGAAGAAACTAATGATGGTAGGTTATCCCACTACATCAAATCCTGACAACTCAGTTTTATACACTCACAAATCAACTCAGGAAAACAAACCAAAGAGAACAGACTGTGGTGTGAACATTGTAAGAAGCTTGTGTTCGAAAATTTATGGAGATCTTTCACATTGGAAGCCCAACAAACTCAAAGATGATAGGAAAAATCAAGCAAACACAACATCAAAGATAAACCTCATGAACATAGTCTATTCAACAATGAACTACTTGAAGATCTCCGAAGGCTTTTGGGATAATATTTTGAGTCTTCTAGCATATCAAGGTAATCTTTCATCTTCTCTTATTGCTCTCTCCAAAGGCTGGGCCAGTTTGTCGGTAGGTCTGACTTGTCTAGCCAGTCCAGACCGGTCTTCTGCAAGGATGGTAGTTGCACTGTTCCTTTGTGAGAGGGAGGCGCAAGCGTATCAGTTTCGTTACCTTTCTATCGAAAATCTTTATCTTTCCATATAAATAAGAAACCCGTTTGAATCCACCTATAGGAGACATGATGATGACAAGAAGGATTTGAGAGTGAATCTGTTTCATTTGTGAAAGAGTACTTTGGTTACATCTACATGCCAAACAACTTTCCACAACTAAATGTCACATGTTCTTTTTTTACATGTTACTCGAGCCTAAAAGGGTATCAAAATTACCGCATTGACTTAGTGGTCCGATACAACATGCTTTTGCTCACCAAAAACAGCATAATGGTGTTGAAAACAACTATGACGGATGCTTTTTCAGAATATCACTGCTAGCATCATACTAAACAGTGTGTCACCTCCCAAAAGAACTCTTAGGGGTGGTGGGCAGTTCAGGACATAAATACTGCTTTTCGGCCCTACACTTAGCCGATGTGGAACTTTTTGTCTGCGACAAGTGACTGAGAATAAGAGTAAAAGTTGATGCAAACGTATGCACTGGTCGGCTAGTGGTCTATCAACATATCAAATTGGAAATAATGAAAATGTTGTAATACCTCGTTACTTTCATTGCCCAGCTAAACTAACAAAATTACCAAATTCAACAGGTCCATAATAAGCCATAGAGAAAAAAAGAAAATATTCCATATCCGAAACAAATCAATAAATTGTTTTACTAGATTTTAAAAAAAAGGCAAAGACATTTTACATTTATAAACTTTCAAAATTCCATACCTTAAAAGTGAAAACAAATTTTAAATAAAAAATGATGTTTTCTAATGCACAACAAAATTAGTTAGATGCCTTCTATAGAATTATATCGAATACTAGCACCATCAAGACCTACAATGAAAGAGAAAAAGTGTGTCATGAAAATCATAAAAATTTCAGGAAAAGAGTAAACACAAACCAGGATTTTTAGTTTGCATTCACATAAAAGAAAGTAAAGAACCTATGCTTGTTGCTTAGAAACAGCGAAGTAAAATGTTCAAATCACAATATGAGAGTATATAATCAGAATTTTTTTTTTTAAATCAAAATTACAGCCTGATATGGCAAAGAAGAGAGGAGAAATCTTGACCATAAAAGGTGTTGTTGAGTCTCAAAGGTTACATTTTAGTTGATAGATAACAATGGTAGTGTCAAACATGGAAGAATTATGACATTTCATATTTTAGTAAATCATGTTCGAAACTCTATCATGTGTTAGCTTTAAAATTTTAGGTGAATTCGGCCATTTAATCCATGTTAATATTACTAATCATTCAATTTAATTCAAAATTCCTAATTCCCTATCCAGTGAGCTCAAATAACAGAAGGCAAAATAGAGAAAAAATGAAATACTCATTTTTTTATTAGCTACAGTGTGAAACTTTCAGGATCCCACAACTCGTTTCTATGAAATTTCACCATTCGCGAGTTCCGAACTTTTTCGCATGGTTGCAAAAGAACCCGCGACAACGGCACGCACAATGATTTCCACCCAAGATATCTTTTGTTTGCAATTTCAGCCCAACTTTATCCGGATTCCTTTATTTCTAATTAATGTTATTTGCTAATAGAAGACTATTTATATGTTGCATTTATTTGCTTGAGGTGGCTAGGTTTTGATTTGAGTATCTTGGGTATTATATTTTTTGTTTTATATTCTTTGAAGTGTTGTATCCTTTCTTTTTGCAAGCAATGTGTTTGAATCTTGCACAAGAATAGAAAGTTGAACCTCATCACCGCCTGAATGTCGCCGATTCATAATTTTCTCCATTGTTTGCAGCCAGGATATCTACCAACAATGTCAAACCTGTTGTCCAAAAGCAGCTTTATCCTCGTAATCACTTCTAAACACCGTAACGCCCACACCACATATTAGTCTTCTCTCACTATTCCACAATCACGTCTCCACAAAGTCCATTTCTTAAATACCTTCTAAAAATCCTATAACAGTATTACATTGGTCGCCCAAGACCATAGCATCCAATAAAAATGTCAAATTTGTTGCACATTTCTAATCTCAAAATAATTGATGGGTGATAATCTTTTAAGTTTTCATCAACCTTCCACCCTCAAAGTAATAGTCAAACTAAGAGTAAATAAAGGCCTCAACAATCTATTAGGGTGTCTTGATGGAATAAGCTTTAGACCCGCCCGCACTTATAAGCTGCCCCAAACGGGGCCTAAATAAAGGCCTCAACAATCTATTAGGGTGTCTTGATGGAATAAGCTTTAGATAATTGAATCAACGTCTTTCTACAACTAAATTTGAATACAATAGGATAATAAGTAAATCTATGGGCAAGATACCATCTGACTCCTTCAAATAAGGAATGCAGAAAGCCAATTGATCTTGCTCCTTTAATGGCACATATATGTTCTAATTTAGATGTCTGATTTGCACAATAAATATGTGATTTACAACATAAAGTTAAAGAAGCATGTACAATGTGAAAATTTTGATGCCATGAATATTAAGAGAAGTACTTGAAGTATAACGAAAGTAACTTTGTTATAATTTGTGTACCTCCAAAGTGTTTTGCATAAATTATATATGAAAAATTACAAGGATTTGTGGTCCTTCTAGATAAGCAAGAAAATTAGTTTGAATATTTATATTTTAAAGTGACTCATAATATGTTAAAAAGGTATTTTTTAACAATGTAAATATTTTATCATTTCAAGGATTCTCTATCAATTTTTTTACAACAGAGATTTCCCTTATAATTGCTCCTTTGACAAACCTCATCATCCAAATTCCACCAACCTACTTGGATTCAACAGAAGTGATACTTGGAAAATTGTTGAGCTCATGTTTTGCTCAAGCGGAAAGGTGAAACTCCTTCAGATGATGCATGAATGACCAACGAATAACAATTTGAAGGTCTATATGGATATCAAATCTCCAAAAGAGTTCTTTCCAAGCAATATGAATTTATGCTGTACAGCCCAATAATCAAAGGAGATGGGATATAGATGAGAATATGACTTCTAAAATGCAGGTGGGTGAGTACAATTAAAAAATGCACTGAAAGAATTATGAGATAAGATAACATTATTAAGACTTTAAAGCAAATTTTATACTAATAAAATGAGGATGTTAAGATGAACGAGGTCTGAAACTAAGAAGAATGGATTTAGAATTTTTTACATAAGATAGACTTATGGTAGTTACAACTATTGAAAATAAGAATAGTGAAAATATTTGAATGTATTGGACATACCTAACATAGAGTAGAAAGTTCTACTAAGAATTTGCACAAATAGATTAACTCCTCATATAGCAATCCTCAAAAAATAAATGGAGAAAAAGAAATCAAAAGAAAGCATTAAAATATTATTCGGCCCAACTTAGTCTTTGTTAAGAGAACAAACAAGCTCATGGGAGTCATTATGCATATTTCCTTCCCGTTAGAAATCAAAGATAGCTCATATAGATCGATCTTTAACAATTACAGAAAAATATTTCTCGCAAATTTATCAAATTTAGTTGAACAATTTTAAGATTCACAAAAACTGAGGCTTGATTTTCCAAAGCCGACCGTTTTACTAGCAAAAAAATATTAATATGAAAATTCAAATCACTATAACTTCATAGAAATGTCAATTAAGACTGACCATTTAAGGAGGCAGACACTACGAACGATACAGATAATGAAGGTTCCAGTGTAGAATAGGCTTTCATCAAAAAACTTCCCCAACATTTCAAGTCTTACACAGTTAAATAAAAATTCTCGATCAAAATACTTCCCCAACATTTCAAGTCTTACACAGTTAAAATAAAAAATCTCTTTACGCAGCAGATATTAGTTTTGAACGATCAAAACAGTACAAGCAAACAGGTAAAGAACATTTCTGATTGTCAGAACTCCTAAATTTAACCTTATGAATATTTTCGAGGGAACCAAAAAAACAATGAATCGTACCTTTTTCGGAAAAGCGAAAGCATGAATCAACCTTGGACGGCATGGGATTCTTGGAAGCTGCGTTCTTGCTCCTATCCTTGAGCAACTCGTCGAGCTCCTTATAATAAGGCAACTTTACAGTTCCACCACTCCGATACTGATGCTTGGCCTTCTTAAACTCCTTGAGTAAATTCCGCCATTTATCCGTGCACATTGTTGCCGACCGATCATATCCTTTATGCCTCATCTTTGCGGAGATTTGCTCCCATAAATGTTTATTAGACTTGGAGGTATTGAACAGCCTATCCATCTCCCTCCTCAAACTAATGAGGCCTCGTGTCTCTTCTTGCGCCCACGTCTCTGCCCTTTTCTTCGGGGCCTTCACCTCGAGATCCTCTCCGCTGCTTTCAGTCAGAATCATCTGCTGATGCAGAAGCGGCAGAACCCCATTGCTAGCCGCGTCGATCATCATCTCTCGACCTTCCTCCTTGTATAAATCGATCTCTCGGGGCTTATCGGAGAAGCGCGAAGCCCCTCCCTTGCCCGCCACCTCCTCCTCCTCGCGGAGGAGTTGCTCTAGAGTGATCAGTGACATCTGGCTGGTAGAGCGAGTAGAGTTCTCAGATTGAAGGAAGACGGAGCCAAATCCATCTCCCGGATTTGGCTAGAAGAGCAAGAGCGAACCACAATTAAAAGGTCAGGAGATGCACGTTCGAGTCTTCCGACTTGTGAGAAAATGATTAGAACGATCAGTGCAAAACGTAATTTGCTTTAGACGTAAGATACAAGTGAGCCTCCTCTGAAATTGATTAGTATTGAAATTTATGTAGCTCACTTAACACGTGTCGTTCTACTATTAGACTCTCATCCTGATGTAATATTTTTTTTGAATTTCCTCCTCTCTCTCCCAAGAACTGCTCAACTCCGGATAGTGGCCATGTACTATCCAAAGAGTTAAATAGAATTTGATTTTTTTTATTATTATTTTTCATTTGGTAGTACATAGCACATAAATATGTATTTATTTTGTATTTTCATATCTCACCCTCAAAGTTTTATTTTAATATCATATAAAAATAATATTATTATTATTTTTAAAAAATAAATACATATTTTCATCTGTAATTTTAAAAACACCAAAATATTTTGTATGTAAATATGAAATTTTCGGGAATGTTAATTTCCCATTAATTTATTGGTAAATTTACACAAATATCACATAATTTAATGTATTTTTATATGTAACATCTAAAGTGATTTTTTCTCACGAAAGGTGGATATGTACAGTTATAA